GAGGTTGCTCAAAGCCACGTCCAGCCTGGCCTTGAAGTCCTAAGAGGAGACTGATGCCTGCAGAAACTAAATTCAGTTTTTCAGTGTAGCTGAACTTGTTTGAAACACTTTCCTCTTCAGTGTTGAAAGGAAAGTAGCAATGCTTATTTAACTAATCCAATGACCTTTGACTTCCTGTACATTAGGAAGGAATCCGTGTCACTAGATGCAGTATTTCAGGTTAGTTGGTATGTACTTCCCCATATTAACTCAGTATTAAAGTAATGGGAATGCACTTTTATTCCTGCCCTGTAAACTTTACCTACAGATTTTTTTTCCCATGAGATGTCTGTTTTCATCATACAAAAATCAGATGTCTTTTAGCAGTTTCATAATAAAAGAATTGAGAGGGGGCCAAGAGGGCAAAAGTTACGACCAACACCTCCGGTCAGTGCTGCCCGCGCCCAGCAAGGTCCTAGGGAATGGTCATCCGCGTGCGTGTCAATTAAGCACAGGCAAAACCAGCCCAATGCTCAAGAGACCTACGGTAAAACGCAGCGAGCGAGCTACATACGAATCGAACACTTGCTACAGATGCACAGAAACTTTAATTTATTCCAGATTTAGCCAAGTTTGGAATTGAACCCTCAGACTGCGCGAAGCTTTGGGCATCGCCTGGGGACACTGAAGGCGCAGAGTGGCACGTCTGCACCCACAGCTCAGGGCGAGCAGGGTGAAGGCACCAGACTGCTGGGGCTCTGGGTCCTTCACAGGCCCAGCAAGGTGCCAAAAGGAGAACACTCCAGGGCCGGAACAAGCAGGGATAGTGCAGAACAGAGCATCGTGACCTGACAGGTGGAGGCTAGTCTTTACCTAAAAGATGCTCTCCACCAAGAAACGGCTAGATTTTTAACATTTCTGGTCTGGTTTGCCACGGCAAGTGCTTACCACCGCAGCCTTGGTCCCTCTGCATATGCTGCCCTGAGCCCTGGAGGCTGATCCACGCAGCTCCAAGGCCCAGGAGCAGCCCTGGACTCCTCAGTGCCCTCCTCGGGGCTGCCCTGCCAGAAGAGGGTGCAGTGACTGACAGTCAAGCCTGCTTCCCCTCAACCCTCCAGCTTTACCGCAGGCTCGCAGGAGGTCAAGGAAGATGCACCAATTCAGGCGATTCCCCAGCTGCCACCGTGGTTAAAGACTCATCGTCACCAAAAGCCGTAACGCTACCCGAGACTGCCCCGAGTTTGCACCTGGAGAGTCTCGCAGCAGCACCATGTAGGCACGCAAACACAGAATCACAGACTGGTTTGGGTTGGAAGGGACCTTGAAGACCATCTAGTTCCAACCCCCCTGCCATGGGCAGGGACACCTTCCACTAGACCAGGTTGCTCAGAGCCTCATCCAGCCTGGCCTTGAACACTTCCAGGGATGGGGCATCCACAACATCAGCACTCAGTTTACGCTGCGCACAGCCCGTTCCTCTTTCTTCTTTCTGGGGAATGGGAGATCCTGGCTTGGCCCTCGCTGTACGCAACCGCAACGGCAGCGTGTCACCACCTGCCCAGACCCCGGCCAAGCTGCACCTAACACTGAACTCCCTTCCAAGCAGCACGACACTGAAGTCTTACCTTTTTGTGTCCTTTTCTCTGCAGAGGCCTGCGATGCCATATAAATAGCTGCAGCTGCTACGGAGATAGGGCTTCTCCCAGGAACCAAATCCAATTCCACAGCTTTACGGGCAATGTGTGTTGCTGCCATTTGTACTTGTTTGGGAAGACCCAGATTGGAACAGAATCTTGACATGAAGTCTCCAGTTGTAATCAAATCAACACTGGTTTCGAGAGCTTTCAAAATAAGTTTAAAGCACCGACCTATTTCCTTCTTTGAAATCCTGGACACCGCACATATTTCTGAACAAAAAGTAAAAAAAAAAAAAAATTGAACTTTAGGCTCAACAGCATTTGCTCCCCCCAAAACACTCAGACTGGCTTCTCACTTTATCAAGACCCACGAAGAAGGCCACCAGCAGGAAATCAGCCCTGCACATTTGTGAAACTTCCAAATCACATCAGTCGCTGCACGTGTTGTAAGGAGCCAATTAACGCAGCTCGCTTAGTAAAGGCAACCTGGCCCTCAGTGCCAGGAGAGCCGCATCCCTGCCAGGGGAAAGCTGCACATTGCAGAACCGCTGGTTCAAAATCGGTTACAGTGGTCCCCACCACCCTCCAACCAAAGCAACGCCGTTTAAGTTTCACCAGCACGTGGAACGATGTTCAGATGCTCAAGTGTTTTAACGCACAGTAACCAAAAATCCCGCACCGGAGAGCCCACTGGCTTCACAAATGCAACAGATTTCGAGGCTCCCTCCCACCTTCCCCCACCAAGGTGAGCTGTAGCTGACAACCACCAACTCGCCCAAGTCCAGCAATAAGAAAACCAACCTCCTGAAGTAACAAGGCCTTTACTTCACAGCAAAACTGAATCTGTATCGCTGAAAACTTACCTTTAAATGTTCTTGGAACACCCTCTTGCCTACAGGCTATGTAGAGACAAGCAGAAGCAATAGCATCATTACTCCTTCCCTTCAGGCTCTTTTGCTCGTACACTTGCTTGAATAAATTATTTGTTCGATCCTTCAAAGCAAGAAGACTAAATTTAATTAACTCTAGGCCATTTAATTAGCAGCAGTATCAAAAATTCATGCGCTCATTATATTATGCTAACTAAGCCAACGCCAGAACAGTTTAAGGAAGGGAGACATGAACTTACAACTATATTTCTAGGGAGGTTGATTCTGTCTGCCATGTTGGTGATTTCCTTAAAAGCATTCATCATTGCACGGTCCGAGCTGCTCATCGTTCTGCGATTCTGGTACTTAGAATTCCCAAATTCATCAAAACTTGCCGCACCTGTGCCCTGAAAAGACAGATCTTCATTGTCAATAAAACACAAACAACTTCATCTTCTTTTCAAGAGCAAACCTCTTCCTACATCTTAATTCACGGCGTTCCATTCCAACAGCTGTACAGGGAAACAGCCCTGAAGTGAGCCGTGCCATCGGGCATTGTTCCACACCTCAGGTTCTACACCCTGTGCAAGTCTCACCTCACGAGCTGACTTTCAAGGACCACAGATTACGCAGGGATTTTTCTTTCCTAATGTAGCAATAGGTTAAGGGATAAATTGAGTAACCTGCAGCCAGTGTGTGCACCTCCATACTCTGCTCACCAATGCTGAGGTCTGATTTTATGCAGCCCGTGTGCCACCGGGGCTGTATCTGCACCAGGGCAGACTGGCGAGGCAGAAAAAGTGTCATGGCCAATGAGAGACCAGCCGTTCCCGTAACTCAGACGTGAAAACGAAGGCAGGGGCAAAGGGAACACCCAAACCAATGACCTATTCCAAACCAATTCAATACTGTGCTTATGAGCAGCTGCAAGCCTTAACTGTGGCAAAATGTAAAAATCTATATAGCCTGCCTTGACAGGAAAACCACACATCAAAAAAAAAAAAAAAAGCAAGCTTGAGATCTTGGGAGAAGAAGAGCCACACACTCAACCTGGCAACTTCAGAACAAGCTCCCAACATGCATGTTTCTGTCCCTTACAACTGACACTGCAAATGGCATACTTTAATAAACAGGCCATCAGTTTTGACACCCAAGAGTCTGAAACATTCAAGGTTTTCAATTAGCCATCACTCTGAAAAACGTCTTTAACAAGCAATGCCACGTCAGCTTAGTAAGGGCTGACGACAACAGCAGGGCCCCTGCGTTCAGAAGAGCAGTGTCCCTAATTGATACCGCCGACTTACCCGTTTGCCGTCACAGTGCGCATCCCACAAGTGATGCAATTCCGCATCATGAGTAGAAACCTGGATTCCCTGAATCAGCAAGCTTTTATTCCTTTCTGGCACCTTCAAACACTTGGGCCGGGCTGGGGCACCCAGCTCGGTCACTCGAACAAGGCGATGTGGGGACAGAGCCTGCTCTGGGCCTGGCTGCTAACCTGGCTATTCACAGCCAGCACTTCCACACGGAGCTCTCCGGTTGGACACTCCGCGATGTTCTGGGATGCCCAGACGGTACAAAGTGGGGCCAGGACACGGTGAACAAAGGGCCAACACACCCTGGCACCACCTTATTCCTCCCAGCTGCCCACATGGAGTTGGAACTCGCTCCTTATTTCCTGATCCGTGTTCTTGGGAACTGTCATCTCTCCCTGGTGCCCAGCTGCATTAACACCACCTTCTTCGGCTGACACTCATACGGCTCACTCTTGACCATCCACACACCCTACTCCACTTCCCTTTGCCCAAGGTCTCCAGCTACACCCCGTTCCTGACAGGATCAGCGAACAGCTCACTGCCAACAGCCGTACCCGCAGTGCTCCCCACTTCGATACTGCTGTGGCAACTGAGGACTCCGGCACAGAATCCTCCCTTCCAAGTAACCACGGCACCTTGACTAGGCCCTCTCTGACAGACGCCAGATTCCAAGATCGTTCTTGGGTGTTTTCTAGTCCTTCAAACATCCTTTCAGACGAAAGCAGCTCCCAGAAATGGTGCTGGCACCAACACAGCACAGGGCTGCTCCAAAGGCAATCCAACTTCCTTGACTGGATGAACAGCTCCAACTAGCCATAGGTTCCCAGTAAGGTTTAAAGATAAACAAAGAGCAAGAATCAAACACAACAAACTTCAGGCCACGAAGAGCACTACAAACATAGCTGCAACACTAGACCTTCCTTTCAGAAATTATGCCAGAACATCTTCCCTTGACCCAAAATACACCCAAGTCTCAGGTCAAAAGCCTCCTTTCTGGCCATCACTCGCACTCTGCAATGCATTACAACACCCACACGCATCACGGCCTCCTAGACTAGCACCACACACAAACGCTTACAGGAACTGCATGGGCTCAAAATCCTGGAGCTGCCAGAAGAGTGACCACAAAGCCTTATCAGCCCTGACAGCAAGTCCCCAGTCCCTATCCATTCAGCCTTCATGCCACATAGTCCTTTACCAGGAAACGCTGCTCTTTCCTGGGGCCATCCTTCACACAGGGATCCGGTCCACTATATGGTTCTCCTTAACTCTCATCTTTTACTTTCTTGGTGATACTTAGGATTACCTTTTCCTCTGAATATATATAAGCAGATGTTCAAACTACCAATGCAGCTACAGGCAAGTACTGTTAGCCAAAGAATTTTACCCTGTCGGTATGAGGACTCTCCAAGAGCCATACCCAATACACACAGAATGGACACAGGTTGGAAAAGACCTATCAGATCTAGTCCAACCACCAACCCAACACCACCACATCCACCAGACCATGTCCTCAAGCGCCATGTCTACACGTTCCTTGAACGCCCCCAGGGATGGTGACTCCACCACTTCCCTGGGCAACTTGTTCCAGTGCCTGACCACTCTTTAGTAAAGAAGTTTTTGCTAATATCTAATCTAAACCTCCCCTGACGCAACTTGAGGCCATTTCCTCTTGTCCTGTCACCAGTTACCTGGGAGAACACACCAGCACCCACCT